TCAGCTTCAGCATCAGCCTGCATTTTGGAAGCCTTTCGAGTAACTCTTGGGCTGATAGACTCAGCTGATGTTGATTGAGCGGGTGCTTGAGGACGTTTGGTGACATGCTTGATGACTTTTGCTGAAGTATTTGGACTCTCTTCTGGATGTTTGACAGATTGGGTGAGAGGAGAATGAGAAGCCGGAGAATCTGATCTAGGTCGAGGATGGTGCTTTAGCTGAGTCATTACGTGGTTATTTGAAGATTCTTCATCAGATATCTTGGATAGTGGTGAGGACTGGGGGGTCGTCGTGTGTTGGATTGCCTTTTCTTTTCCCTAGGACATATAATACATGGGAACATCATGAGAACATTATTTATTTGAGCGGAATGTTTTTAAGAAGGATATGGAAGAATATGAACTTACTTTTGAACATTGTACGTCTTCAGTGGGGATTTGATGATTGGTATCAACTCCTTCATTAACAACATCTTCTTTGTCATCAACTTCTTCCTTTTGAATGTCAGCTTCAGCTTCATGTGTTTCAGTTGATGTAAGTTCAGCTTTGTGATTTTCATTTAATGTAGTGTTGTTAGGATGGATAGTAACTTGCTGGGAAATGATCTGAGATGTAGTGTTAGTGAGAGCTTCAGCAAGCTGAAGCTCTGACATAAAACGGGCGAGGAGGCAGGTCTGAGAGTGATTTGGCAGGGCTTGCATTCGTGTAAATAGTGATGTGTATTGATGTTGTATGTAAGGATTGGATGATTGAGAAGATGATGGAGTGTTTGAAAGTGATTTGATATTTGGAATCACCATATTGAGATGGGTGGGTGGTTGAGAATGAGGTTGAGTGCTGGAAGACGTCTCAGCACTGGCAGGTGGCTTTCTTTGACGGGAGTGAGCTTCAATAGGAATGTGCTCCTCGGAAGGTTCGTGATCATGCTCGGGATTCCCAATTTCGATTACAAACCAACGAGTCTTTATATTACGTCTTGCAGTTACTTCAAATGGGCAAGTCGGAATTTCGGGTAGATTGGGTGACTGGGCTTTGATAGCGTCAGACAGAAGCTTCTTCTGGTATCGATTGGGACCGAGGTAGCATTTGAGTGTGATGAATGATGGTCTGGTGTCAAATGTTGTGACAGCGTAGTAATTTTGATGAGCATGTTCTTTAAGATACGCAGCAGCTTCATCACGAGTTGCAAAGGTACACCCAGCCTCGGGGATAGGTATTGTTTGAGTTGGGCTTTGGTTAGTAACCGAGTTCGTGGTGAGAGTATCAGACATGGTGCTTAAGTTGATTTGTAAGTTTATTAATTTGATTTGAAATCAGAAAGTTATTATATTGAGTTTGTTTAAGTAGCTTGTGATTTAATTATTCAATAATGTAATAAAAAAAGATAATTCAAGAATTTGAAACTTCTAGCATTGAGCAAAGAAAAGGAATGGGGATAGATCGATTTTTGATTTGGGTGTACTAATGTGTAAACAAAGGAGTTCAGTGGTTAGTATTGGTGTGTAGTGGGTTAGGGCGAGTATGTAAACTTACTTCCAAGAGAATGAAAGAGGAGTGGTTATCGATGATTGATCTCGATTTTTGATTTGAGAGGATGTGTGTACTAATGTGTGAACAAAGGAGTTCAGTGGTTAGTATTGGTGTGTAGTGGGTTAGGGCGAGTATGTAAACTTACTTCCAAGAGAATGAAAGAGGAGTGGTTATCGATGATTGATCTCGATTTTTGATTTGAGAGGATGTGTGTACTAATGTGTGAACAAATCGTCGATTTGAGAAAGGTATGTGTGTACTACTGTGTGAACATAGGAGGTTAGTGGTTAGTATTGGTGTGTAGTGGGTTAGGGCGAGTATGAAATGTAAACTTACTTCCTGGAGAATGAAAGAGGAGTGGGGTTGATGATCAATCTCGAATTTTTGATTTTAGAAAGGGTGTTATATCTGATTGATCTCGATTGTTGATTTGAGAAAGGTAGTTATCGATGATTGATCTCAATTGTTGATTTGAGAAAGGTAGTTATTGATGATTGATCTCGATCGTCGATTTGAGAAAGGTATGAGTTTACTACTGTGTGAACATAGGAGGTTAGTGGTTAGTATTGGTGTGTAGTGGGTTAGGTCGAGTGTGAAATGTAAACTCACGTCCTGGAGAATGAAAAAGTGTTTATTGATGATCGATCTTGATAAGGAAGGAGATGTGGTGTGGTATGGCTGTGTAGTTAGTTGATAGCAGGGTTGATGTGGCGCCTGGTGGTATGGCTGGGTGCAGTGGGTAGTGGTTGAGAGAAGTTGGTGGTTAGTGTGCGAATGAGTGGGTTGTGGTTATGCGAATGAGTGGCTTGGTGAGACTGTGCAGTTAGGTTTGCTGCTGTGTATCGTGTAGGCATTACATGTTAAACACATGTATAACCACATGTACACACAGCATCGAAGTCTACATCAGCCTACGGCTGTGTATACACTGTGGACTACAGCACACATATGTATATGTGTAGCCACCGATATGTGAGCTGTGTTCACACAGCTTCAACGGTGTGTACACAGTGCTGTACACAGGTGAAGACTGGTAATTCACACATCTAGGGCTGGTGTGATCACCGGCATGATCAACATGTAAGTTTTGTTGAAGGTAGAATGCCTGGTACGTGCTTGAAGGTGGTTTGGATACTTCTTGAGAGGTTGGTCAATCTTGATAGAACTTCAAAGAGGTCTTGGTATGTTTCGAGGATGGCCTCAGAGGCATCTGAGACATCCTAAACACATCTGGCGCTATATATGGGATACGTGCCGAGGATGCGTTACACGTCTTCCTCGGTACAGGTCCGAGTTTGTAGTGTACACGAGGTGGGATTGGGTGAAGTCAACATCCGCGCAGAGAATCCCTACGAAGAATTAAACACCAGCATTGTCAAGGCCATCCAAGACTTTTTCTATCTCCACAACCCCTTCGCGAAAATGTTCAAGTACGCAGGCGACGTGTTGGAAACACACCCAGATATTGCCCTTAAGCTGAAGGCCGTCAACACGGGACCAGATTGCCGTCGCTATAATTTTCCTACCACGGATGAAGTCGCGATGATAATTGAGGGCGAAGGTCTAACCGGCGAGAGGTCCCGAGACGTCATGCTTTACCCCCATCAAGGTGGTCAAGATACCCTTTCCGACCTTCACCCGGCGTACCTGGCCCTTTGTTACCCTTTCTTATTGCCTTTTGGTACGAAGGGTTTCGACATGAACTACCGTGTACCCGGCTCTACCCGTAAGTTCATCGTCAAGTGTTAGGAGCTGTCTCACACTCACATCGCTTTACAACAGGTCGTGGTGGCAAGGTTACCAACCTCGAATGGTTCGCACGCATCCTCTTTGACCGTCCCGACACCTTCTCCGCAATTCTCTCAGCGGGCAAGTTGCTTCAGGAAGTCATGGTGGACATGTACGTATGCGTTGAGCATTGGCGTTTACAATACATCCGTAACAACCAGACGAGGCTACGAGCCGCTATGTACAGCGGCGTCGTCGAGGCGTTTGGCCGCAATGATTTGATACCAAGCAAATTTATAATCCTACCGTCTTCCTTCGTTGGGGGTCCCCGCTCCATGACTGAGTTATATCACAATGCTATGGCTCTTCGGCAGGAGCCGGGCGAACCTGGCTACTTCATTACCATGACCACGAACCCACAATGGCCGGAAATAACACACCAACTGAAACCTGGAGAAACGTCTCAAGACAGACCTGACCTCATCTCCCGTGTCTTTCACCTTAAATTCCACGAACTGCTGCTCGACTTAACGAAGCGCAAACGTTTTGGTGAATGTGCGGTGTATGTCTATACGATTGAATTTCAGAAGCGGTCTTTACCTCACGCGCACTTGATTCTGATGATGAAGAAGGAACACAGGCTACGGAGCGCAGAAATGATAAACATGCAAATAAGTGCTGATATCCCCTGCCCAAAACGCAATCCAAGGCTCCACGACTTGGTAGGGCGCCATATGCTGCACGGTCCCTGTAAAGGTAGACCCTGCTGGAAAAACAACGGTTGCAAATACGGTTACCCTCGATCTAACTCGGAGGTTACCCAGGTATTAGAAAACGCGTATCCCCTATACAAACGCCCAGCATCCGCTCGCACCATAGCCTACAAAGGGCGTGTCTGCACAAGCCGCGATGTAGTACCATATAACCCTTACCTGTTGCTACGATTCGAATGCCATATCAACGTTGAGATACCCGTCAACACGAAGTCAGTAAAGTATCTTTACAAATACATAGCTAAAGGTCATGACAGGTCAGCGGCGTCTTTTACCTCGGCCGACAAGATTATGGGCCACGTTGATGGGCGTTATGTTAGTGCTTCTGAAGGTGAGCGCTCTACCACCTCTGACATTGATATACACTAATGTGATGATGTAGCTTGCTGGCGTCTGTTCAAGTTCCCGATGTCGGGTCAATACCCAGCGGTTCAGCGACTGGCTCTGCACCTAGAGGATGCACAGTCTATCACATGGCGCGACGAAGAAAGCCTGGAAGAAAATCTAGAAAGCGGCCGTGCTGGACGCACAACACTCACCGAATTCTTCCAACTTAACGCCGAGAAGCACGTCACAAGTACATTCAACGTACCAATTACAAGCCTTCTGTATTGCGAAATGCCTGCACACTTTACCTGGGATGAAAAACAGAATTGGTGGAAAGACCGAGCTTATAATACCAACACAATCTCACGTACCTACTTTGCGTCTATCTATTCAGGTGAACGCTACTATCTTAGACTCCTTCTCGCCCATGTCCGCGGTCCTACGAGTTTCGTCAACATTAGAACCGTAAACGGAATGGTCTGCCCATCATACCGACGTGCATGCCATGAATTGGGATTGCTACTGGGCGATGAGCACTATGCAGCTTCTATGATCGAAGCTGCATCGTGGCAAACTGGGGGTCAGCTTTGCAATTATTTCGCCCTCCTCTTAAAACACTCACCCCCCGCAAACCCATTCGCACTCTGGCTTGCGCACAAGCATGATCTTAGTGATGACTGCGAACGTGACATCAGGCGCGAGAACGACGACTTGCAGATCGACACCAAGACTGTGAAAGCTCTAGGTTTACATCGGTTGAGACGATGCTTGGCGGAGATGGACATGACGTTAGATGACGCTGGATTGCCACCAGAGGACACAGACTGCCTGCGATACCTTGGACCACTATATAAACCAAAGGACGGTGACGACGACGATGCGAACGCAAGCGCGATATACCTCGATGATGCAATACCAAAACTCAATCGGGAACAGCTTAACATATACACAGCAGTTACCGAATGCTTAGCCCGAAAGGAAAGTGGATTGTATTACCTTGACGGCCCAGGGGGGACAGGAAAGACGTTCGTCATGAACGCCGTACTCCATAAAGCTAACTGCGAGGGCATCTCATACGTATCGGTCGCATCTTCTGGCGTAGCTGCCCTGTTGCTACTGAAAGGAGAAACTGCACATTCGGCCATGAAAGTTCCTATCCATAACGACGACTTCACAACTTGTAACTTTAGTCCAACGGACAGGACGGGGAGGCGGCTTAAAGCTGCGGATCTGCTCGTTTGGGATGAGATCGCAATGCAGAATAAGTCCGTCATTCACTGTGTTGATCGCAGTCTGCGAGACCTACGAGGGAGTACCGCACCGTTTGGTGGCATGTGTGTTCTGTTTGGCGGCGACTTTCGCCAGACTATGCCGGTCATACCACAATCAACATGCAGCAGCAAGCTAACGCCTCTTTGAAAATGTCGCACTTATGGCCTAAGATAGATAAGTACGCTCTCCATACCAACCTCAGAATGCGACGTACGGACGGACAATCAAGCCGTGAAGCTGATTCGAACGCCGCTTTCGGCGAATGGTTGCTACAACTTGGCAACAGTACTCTGCAAGACAATGATTGTGGTTTGATCAACATTGATACATGTAACGTGTCAGGTATGAAACCAGATGAAGAGTTTGATCAAATGGTGATACGAGAGCAATACGAGGAGGTCGATGCTCTGGTTGCGCAGGAGAACTGGCAAAACTTGGGAGAGTATTATTCGGGGCGTTGTATATTGACTCCATTGAATGTGGATGTAAACGGTATCAACGATCAAGTTCTCAACGATATGGCGGGCGAGGAGACTGAATACCAAGCATTCAACATTCCCGAAGAAGAGCACGACGAGATGGTGTCTCCGGAAATTCTCAACTCATGTGAAATAGCCTCATTCCCAAAGAACGTTCTCAAAGTCAAACCCGGTGTGCCACTTATGCTACTCCGGAATCTAAATCTCGCGCAAGGCTTGTGCAACGGGACGCGTCTGATCGTAACCAAGTGCGGTATTAATGCTCTACGATGCAGGATCGTATCAGGTCGCCAAAGAGGCAAGATGGTAATGCTCCCCAAGATCAAGAGCCTTCACACTGCCGACGAAGTTATGCCTCTGTCTTTCTATTGGCATCAATTTCCTGTCACGCTCGCTTTCGCAATGACCATAAACAAGGCTCAAGGTCAGAGCGTTAATAGAGTCATGGTATCTTTACCAAACGACGTCTTTGCGCATGGCCAATTGTATGTCGCCTTATCGCGCTGTACTACTGCTTCCAACGTGCGTGTTACAATGAAACAGCGCGGTGGTGAGTCAGCATTGAACATCGTCCATAGAGAGTTCCTATCTATCTGATTTCTCATAACGTGTACTTTGTGTTTCTTATTGCATTACTTTTTTCATTGTGCCTCCACGTCGTTGCGATGCCTAGCACTATTTCATGTATAGCTACTTAACAGTTAGCAATGTGGAAATCGTTAACATGCCTTGCACGATGGAAACACATATCGTATGCATACAATATGCGCGCGATGATAAATTCTAATCACGTAACAACGCCCAACGTATCATAAGTCAGATAAAATGTTGCTCATGTTCAGGCAATTATACCCTTTCACGCGGAGGGCGAGCATTGGGAAAGACACAGAATTATGCTATGGTCCTCTGAAGTCTATGGCGTTGAGCTATTTGACTCAACCTACTGGGTAATTACACGGGGGCAAGGTCTGCTTTGCGTCAAGCCAGTCTAACCAGAACACATACCTGCTCCAGATCGGTGGCTTAATGAATCAGCAGTGGCCCATCTGTTCAACTGTCCTGGGCCCGTCGTTATTTCACTTTGGCCTGCTAATCCAGTACTCACGTAGCCCCGTTCGACATACATTGGCAGGCAATTGCCAATGCCCAACTAAATGTATGTCTCCGTTACGACCTTCCCTGACGTCAGGATGGCCTAGGCTGGACATAGAGCTCTTTGATGATTGAGGCTGGGCCGCTGCAGTACAATACGCCGCGTAATCGATGCACGACGTCAGCATAGTGATGGGGATATATAAATACGGTAATGAGCGGTGAGTCTACTAACATAGCAAAATCACCTTCAAGTTCTGTAATATCTTTCCTACACGCGTTATTAAATTGTCACACCCGAGAGTTTTTATCCTTATTTGCATATGACGACGACGAAAAGCCACCGCACAGCAAACTTCCCGTTGCGCTTTAGCTCCGTCTTTTGGACTAGGAACGATGTACGTACTCCTGGCTTGTCACAGAATTGTATAACCTGACAATCCTATCATAGGTCGAGCATGAGGAAAATGATGCGTTTGTATGTTTCGAGACGAACGTTATAATCAAGAAGGACGACACTCGCGGCGTGCCATTGATGGTGGCCGCCAGGAGAGACGAGTCCATTTTGCGGCGTGGTCATGCTTCCAGGATTGAGGGCCATGTCGCAGCGGGCGGGATCAACAGCGTGTCAACAATTTTCGAAGACGCAGACAACACCATAGAAATTGATCACGCGGAAGTCCGTGTTAAGAGTTTGGTCGATAAGGTCTCAGCTCACGGCGTGGGTCTTATTGTGGATTGGGATCTGCGCTCGGGACCAGATGAAGGCTGCTACACTGAGGTGATAAAGGTATTGCATCGTTGCATAGGCTCAACGGTACGAATTTTATTTCCAATGCACTCAAAAGACATGGCTCACGTTTCTTTACTGCAACAAGGCCCCGGGCGGCGAGCCGCCCATTGGTATTATAGTATCCACCGGCGTGCACTCTACTCCCAATATGGCTAAAGTGGCCCACGTCCGTGCCGTGCCGCGTGCTCCCTTCTCTACTCTGCACAACGCCTTCTCCAGACTGTAATTCAACACTCTCGCCATCCATTATCGTCCTATAGCACAGCCCTCCCGATTCGCCTCGAGACCAAACCTACATGGGCACCTCAATCCCCCCTCCAGCCATCTCGTTCACTCGCCAACTGCCTACCATGGCTATGCTGCTATATATAAACGTCCTCGCATCTGTCTCCCTGGCTCTTCACATCCCATACAAAACTCCTAGCCAACAATGCCATCACATCCCAACACAAACACGTCGCACGCCAACCCTAACACGCATCCAGACAATGCCAATGTCCATGTAAGTTACTCGGCTTCCTCTGACCACCCAAACGTGGCTGACAACATACACAAAGGCCCCTGCAGAGCGTGTGATTCTCGACCTTACAATTGCCACGAACCATGATCGTGAATCGGTGGCCAGGGCCCTTCATCAAGCATTCAACGACGTAATAGCCGCGTTGACCATTCATCATACCCTCAGCACACCTCACGATTTCTTTATATGCGTTGAGTACCAACGCCGCGGGCCACCACACATGTCCGTCACTTGCATCGTCCACTCCAGTGACGCGAGCATCGTCAGCTCCGTGTTCCAAGCCTCAACTGTATGTACATCTCGTCTTTATCAGGCCAAACCTATTTCGCTGACCTCACATTGCCACAGGTTTCCGGTCCCAATCGATTGCCTTGTGCCATACTTTAGACCACCGCCTGAATACGTACTGCATCATTGTTCCCTCACATTGTCTGTTAGTCTTTGTAATCCAGCTGCAATTCAGCATTTTTGCTACGTAAAACCTTTACTTGATGCTTTAAGCCGAGCTTTGCTCCAATACTCCGAGCCATAGCCCCAGACTTAGTTCACTCGCTCGTTTCTTTGCTTCGGCCTGGGAATTCTCTTGCATCATGGCTTTATTTTTCAACGCACTACGCATCATTTACATTGCAATTCAGTCACAATCCACTTTTTATTATACAATATTGTTACACTGGCCCCGTCGCATCAAAAAAATACAAAAAAGGGAGATAAGTCTAAGCTTTAACTAAGCCATGAAACAAAACATTAGTCGTTTTATGCTCTGTAACCCTTTCTGTGAGAATTACTGTGGTTGCCTGCCTCGAAGTACAGCGAGACATCGCCACGTACAACTGCCCGTGAGCAAAGACTGGCGTCGGGAGGACTACACACACCTGGGTTAGCGTTTGCCCCTGGGACTTGTTGATTGTCATTGCAAACGCAAGCGAAATTGGAAATTGAAAGCGAAAGAAAGATATTGGCACGCTCTCGTTGCCCGGATGATGCATTCTCATTCGCGGCAAAGACACACACGTCCCCCGTTTTGGTCCTGAAACAATCACGCATTGCAAAGCGTTGTCAGAAGTGTTCGTGATCAACAGCCTTGTACCGTTGCATAGTCCCGAGTGCAAGTTGAGGTTTCGCAATAAGATTACCACTGCACCGACTTTCAGACTTAGTTCGTGGTTGGGGAATCCGGGAGGGTTGAACGTGTTCAACACGTCGACACTCACGTGCGAGGCGTACTCCTCATCAAGACTGTCCAGGGAGGAATAGTCTCGTTGGGAGGTGCTCAACCCGCGAAGTACCATCCCATTCAGATCGGCCACTGTCGCATTCAAGGTTGTTATGATCGCTTGTGTTGAATAATACTCAGCCAATCGTCCCCAAGCCCCCCGCCGTATCAAGTTGTCCGCGGCAGAGTAAAATGGATTGACCCATCTTCTGCTAAGTGCTTGACCGGGTTTGATGCTAATAACATTAACGTGTTCAAGCTTGATTTCTTCGACGTGCTCGTCCTGAAGTGCGCCTGATCCCAACTGCAATAGCCACTTCCCGTACTCCGCGTTCTGTGGGTCATCCGTGAGACGCAGATTTTTAGTCAATTCATACTCCCTCACATGTTGCCACAATTCGGAATGCTTGAAGCATGCATTTACTGTATCTAGCAACCCTCCATGGACGACAACTGGAAGCGTTTGTCGAAAATCGCCGGAGAACAGGATAATAAGCCCTCCAAAAGGCTTGTCAGACTCTCTTAGGTCTCGCAGGCTTCTGTCGACACACTCAATCGCATGCTTATGCTGCATCGCGATCTCGTCCCATACGATGAATTTCGCTTCGAGCAGTGCCTTCCCCACAGCGTCGTTTTGGCTGAAAGAGCAGGTCGAGTCGCTATGTACGTCTAAAGGTATTCCTAGGGTTGAATGTGCGGTGGCACCATTTAGCAGCAAGAGAGCTGCAACACCTGACGAAGCGACTGCGAGGAACGGGATTGATCTTGAGTTGCAATAATGCAGGCAAGCGTTCAATAAGAACGTCTTACCACAGCCCCCCGATCCATCCACGAAAATTAACTTCCCTTCATCACCTTCTACCGCCATCGCTACAGCATCGTAAACAGTCCCCTGCTCCTCTGTCATCGTCAAGCCAGCTTTGATAACGTACTCATAACTGGCTTCCGGTGATGTGTTCTGCTGATCAACGTGCATGTTGCAGCCGATCGTGGCTAGCAGGTCTTCATCTACGCCGTCCAAGCCCACGTCTTCCAGGGTCTTCCCCATGTATTCCAAGGATTTTCCCATCAATGCCAACCCATAATTTTCAATCTGCCTCTCTGTCGGCGCCAAATCTGGTAAACACAATGCCAACTGGTACCTGCAATCATCTGTAAGGTCTTCAATGTGGTCATCCCATAATTGTTGTGGATTGGACGGGGGACTATGTACCAAAATTAAACCAAACATCTCCCGTAATTGATGACCCGATTTCCAAACCGCAGCCTCAGTCAAGCAGGCATCGTAATGAGCGTCAGACATCAGAAGGCCCATCGCGTCGGCTGCTCACCTGTACGTTGCATATAATTGCCCATCTACTGTCCTCAGGTCCTGGAAAGATGTTGGCCCTCGTACTGAGGTCAGCAGCAGCCTCATATAATACCGGTCGCCATGCCCCGGTTTAGCAAAGTAAAGGCGACTGATCGATCGAATGTTCTTCTGTCTTCGCACCCAACGTTTGATGCTCTTATCCCACCAGTAGTAATCTGTCATCTCGGTGTAAAGGAGTCTTCTGACGGTGAAGTTCATTTTGCCGACCAATTCGTCATTACGGCACATCCGGAAGAACTCCGACAGGGTCGTTCTCTCCGCTCGACCCGACTCGATCGCGGCCCTCAACGAAGCGTTGCTTTGAAAATACACCATATTCGTGTACTCGTCGTGCAGGGCTAAACGGTTGACGGCGGGATGATTCCCGGAAAGTGGCATCTGGAGCAAACGCACAATGGCTGCAGACGGAGTCAGTATGAAGAAGTGTCTGGAATAGGAGCTGATGACAAACCTTCCGGCGCTGCCAGGTACCGCCCATCAACAAAATCGGTGACTTCGTCTTCAGTCTCTAAAGCCAAGGCCTGCCTGTCGTGCCCTTTTGCAATATATTTGTAGAGATATTTTACCGACTTCATACTGGTCGCAATCTCCACTTTGATGTGGCACCGGTACTTCAAGAGTAAGAACCGATTATACGGGACAATATCACGATTGGTATACGTGACGCCATTCTTGATAAAGCTTCGTCCATCATCAGGCCGTTTGTATTGGGGATAGGAGCGTTCTGTCATCGCAGTGACTGGACTGAAAGGTTGGGGATATCCGTACTTGCATTTTGTCCCGTTCCAGCAGGACTTCGTACTGTCGCAAGGCCCGTGGACCATAGATTGAACGACCAATTCATAAAGCAATGGATCACTATCGGGGTCAGGGATTGTAGCTGAGACTATCAAGTCAACTTCATCGGGAGTCCTAGGCGTAGTCGTGGCATCGTTAATCAGGACTAGCATATCAGCGGCGGGCGCCGCTTCCAAGATATCACATTGCAGTCAAACCCGTGCAATTGCATACCTGTGCAACTGCATGATCAGCCTTTTTGCATAGGCCAGGACTTCCCCCGACTTGGTGTGGGCTAAAAGTTGGATTTATTCCATAATTTTGTCAAAAATGATAATGCATAAGGCAAAATCCAAAAAACAGGTCTTGGAAGCCCAATTGCATAGCTTTTACTCCAAATACAGGATAAAAAGTACATAATTATGCATAAATCTTGAGACCTAAGTCTCAAAGCCTAACTCAAAACTTGTGAAAATGCATAATGTTACGTATTTTGGCCTATTTCCGCATATATGAATAACTTTATGCATTGTAACCTATCCTGTATTTTACCTCACTTTGCATAACCCGTGAAATTGCATAGGCCAGATGTTCCCCCCAAATTATACAATTGCGCAGGTTTGACTGTATGTGGATGGCATATGTTGGATGCCTTCTAGGGAATACAATACCCTTCATGATTGATCTTGTGATGACTCTTCAAGAAATCACTTTGACAGAATTCATATGAATCAGCAAAGATGGAGTTTTATGATTGACTTTATTAAAACCTTACTTACCAATGTATATCAACAACCCACCTATCAATGATTGTGAATGACAGATATACACACTCAACACTTTTTTAACATAATACCAAGGTTTATGTGTCACCAATGTGAGAGGAAATACTGGATGCACTTAGGTACCTGGTTATTGAATAGGTTCCTAAGCCACATGTATTGGATCTATGATTCAGAAAATATGCAAGTCCCACCATGGATCAGCCTTGTATGTTCAGCTTTATTTTTTTCTAGAAATGGAATAAGAAGTTGGATAAGAAGAAAATGAATCTACTTTGATCAGGGTAAAGTTTGTATAGGTACAGTAGTATCAATAGTCCCTCTCAACCCTAAAGCTACTTCCTGTGTATGTTCTATATCATTTTGGTTTTCAATCAAGACTTCCAAAATTCTCCATTGCCAAATTACTTCCCATTTGCTTTCTCAATAGGCTGATGGGGTTTGAATAATAATCAGCTTAAGTTTTGAAATTACTCACTTTCAAGGCAATGATGGCATCTGCTGGAGGAATTAAATGGGTCCGCATACAGCTCAACACCTCATCTGCAATCACTTCTTATTTGTATGAATGGTGTTGACAAATTGTCTCAGCTTACAGTTTCAGAATGAAAAGCACAACTGTGATGAAGAAAATGATGTGAAGTCATTGCATCATCTACTTTTGTGCTTGTTATTTCAGAGAGACATCCATTCACGTCTATTGTTCTGAGGTGAACTATGACAGTTCAACTGGGTTAAATTAAGAAAGGTAACTGAGTAACAGCTTATGGATCCTAATTTTGTAAATTTCATATTTCGGATTTGAGTTTCCCATGGTCTTGAAAGCATATTGACCGTTGCTGAGAAGAGTTGATGAAAGTTGTTTGGTGTAACACCTGTCTAGCCAAAGAAACCCATTTGTACAAAGTATGAGAAAGGAGGTCAAAATCAATCATATCAATGTCATAGAACCAATGGAAAGTTTCTTACCATCAATTGTAAATTCAGGTAAAACTTTGGCTGATGGGATCAAGATTACATTTAAATCTTCTGGTGATGATTCTTTTGAATTAGATGCTACAGATCCTTTTATCTGGATATCTTTCCACCATTAATGCATAAGCAAATTTTCATTGATGGTTAACTTTAAATTTCCTGAAATGTTGCCTAATCCAACTCCTGCAATCACCACTTCACCTGATGAACCTAATCCTTGTCCGAATGGAATTTACTTTGATTTCATCTGATTGTAAGATGTATAATGCCACTCTTGTGATTAAATTTTGATATGGATCTTGGTTCTTCATTTGATCCTAAACCTTCATAAGTTAATTTACTTTTGATGTTAAGTTTGAATCAATTTGTCAGTTGATAGTCAAATGAAATGATAAAGCTAATCCTAATACATCAAAACCCGGTCCTATATTTGCAGAAGTTAATGGAACTCGTATGATCCACTGTCAAATCAAATCTAAATCTCAAGTTAGATTCCATCAAGATTCCAATGATGAATTGCTATGAGAGCTTAAAGAGAAGTCTACTTTACAAATCGATTTCATTGGTTCTTCTTTGAATGTTGTAGCTTGTCAAGTTGAGATTGAAAAGAACCTTTACAATCTGATTTGATTTAGTTATAATTAATAGGATGGTGTTTTCCATCTTGAATCATTTACAACATATTTAACAATCTTAAGTCTATCTTTTGATTTTAAATTTCCAATTTCTAAAACCTAATAACCAAAACCAACATCCAACCAAATCGAAAGAACAAAAAAATCAGTTTCAAAATCAAGAAGAGAGAAAAAAGAGAAAGTCAACAAACTCCTCCATGATTAGCAGTTTCTTCTTTCCAAACCGGTTCAACACCTTCATCATTTGATTTATCCAATCCTTGATTCTTTAATTCATTTTCCACAAACTCTTCTGCACTTTTATACGGTTTATCTGTTACTACATTAGTCACGAGTGATCAAGTTGATACTCTTAATCCTATATGTCTTCATGCAGTTACTTCTGGTACTGTACTACAAAAAACCCAAACAAAAATAATGATTTAGTGTTTTTTGGTGAGTTTTGTTGGAGTTGAGAACTTGAGACTTACGACATTCGTACTACATCTGCTCGTGTACTTCTTATAAATTTTCCTTCTGCTCTTGTTTCATAAGTCGGACCTGAAACCTACAAAATTAAATCATTCACTCAAAGATAGGATGAAAGGAAAATCCAATTTGTTAGTTCACTGAATAATAATTAAGTTGAAATTCATAGTGTGATAATTTCCCAAGCATAAATTCCTTCTATCACATCACCTTTTTCTAATCCGATTTCGGGTAACGATCCAAACACTGATTTCCTAAGTTCAAGATCACAAGCTATTTAAAATAGATTCAAGAGGTTTTTTTGTTTGGTCAAGTTAGTTTGATCAGATTACAAAAATTGATTTTTTATGAGAATTAGAAAACGCTTAAGAATTTACCATCTGACATGGGTGGAAGAAGAGGACCAAGTGTATCTATATTAGGACCGATTAAAGGATTCCAAGAAGTCTGATTCAAAAATGAGTTAAAAAACGATCCAAAAACAAATTGATTAAATAAATCAAACAATTTGTTAAAAACTTACAATGGTAATGCGAGATGATCATCAAGTGCAATGATTTGTCCAACTTTTAAATTCGGATTCACTGCTCCTGCAGCATTGGTTACTATAAAACAAAAACAGAATGATTCAAGTGTTGATGTTAAAGATTAATTTTTTGAATTATATGATTTGGTTTAAATTGAACTTACCAATTACTGCTTCACAACCTAATGATTTAAAAATTCTGACTGCAAAGACTACATCTAAAAGTGGATAACCTCTAATTGAACAAAAAAACTTGGTTTAATATGATTATCTTGGTTTTTGGTCAAGGATTAAGATTACTTACTCGTAATCATGGAATCTATAATCGGGACCGATCAAAAGATAAAAAAATCCAATCCGAACAAAATCGTGGGATTTGGCTTCAGCATGCAACCGCTTACTTTTGTAATTGTGGAAACCGTGCATATAAAAAACTCCTGCCATTGTCCACTCATACCCGTCAGTTCGGAAATGATAGCATTGATTGCTTTCAAATCGGGCATCTTGTTATCAATAGCAGCAGCGATTACATTTGAGGTACCAGACATTGCGCGCAGGGAAGGCTGTAGATTATAAGTGCGTTGAACGTTTCCCGCAAAAGATCTCAATCAACTTTGAAGTCCAATAGGCGAGTTGATTGAGGATGTTGCATATGAAGTTCTTGGAGTAGAAACATTGAGGTTGAATATGATTGATCTTGCTAGAGGGTTGTGAATCGTAGTGCCAGTAGTAAGAAGTTGAATGAGTGCTGGAAATGAGTAATTGGTAATCTTGTTCAATTTGTGTTGAGGTTGACAATCTTCTTCCTAACCCTAACCCTATCCTGTTAGCATTCCGATCTAGTTCCATATTAAGTCGGGTAACAACAGTGACCATCAATCAAGGACCATAATACTTGTCTGTCATTGGCTGATGTTGATTGATGATTAGAGCCAGTTGTTGGAAGGGTGGAGTCAGTTGAGGAAGACATGGTTTAGGTTGTGATGTCCCTGTTCCCGTTGGTCGAGGAAGGCTGATAAATGTTTGCACAAAATTGGAGTGAGCTGCTAAACCAGCCTCACTGAGTGAAAGCCTTCAAGACGATTCCAGTTAGTTGATTTGTATCTTATAAGAGGAATGACAAACATATTTTGGGTGAGGTGCGTGGAAATCAGATTAAACTGTGTTAGACGTGTAAACCTTGAAATTGGTAGTAGGGATTGGGAGTTTAATCAGGTTTTGCCGGCGAACACGGTTTACCTTTAACTTGAATGAATTGTATGGGCGTGCGGTGCTCCCCTTTTCTGGAACTACACTGTATGTACGTCAGAAATACAGTTACCAAGTCGACCACGTTTCCTGACATCTTTATGCATCTCTTGGAGTTTTAAGTAAAATACTCTAGCCAATAAATCTGGGCGATCTTCAGGGACTTGACCTGGAAGGAGCGCGCGGGTCACCTCAGGCCATTGCGGGTTTGCCGTCGTTGTGATGAACAGGCTCGGATGCCCGAAGCGTTTGACCAAAGACATAGCGTTGTGATAGAGCTTGTGCATGGCTCTCGGCCCGCCGATGAAAGAGGACGGCAAGATTATGCTCTTGCCAATTGTAAAGTCGTCGTTGTGGAGGCCCTCACACTGCGAACATAATGTATTTTTCCAAGGTGAAAAATGATTACATTTATTTCACAAAATGATTAAAAATGCATTAATTCTGCATTAATTCTGCATTTTTCTGCATTAATTCTGCATTATTAATCATTTTGTGCATTAATGTCAATCATTTTTCACCTTGGAAAAATACATTATTTTCACAGTGTCAGCCGCTCCATTATACAATTCTGCACGGAGTGTAGGTTGATTGAGGTGGAACCATTTCAACCGCGCATTCTCGACGCATATGTACATGTCGACTGTGTATTCCTGTAACAATCGCCCTCCTCTAAGTATAGCTGATAACGTATTGTGTCGCTCGAACAATTGATAAGCGCAGTGCTCCGACCGGCTGACTTTTCCAGTAGGGCCTATGACGCATAAACGCGGATTAGTTTTCAATTGTAGCAAGGAAGCATTAGCCTCTTGCACTTACGTCTTGATGCCGTGTTACGATAATGCTCGTCCCAACCATGGGACCCATGCATAAAAAAAACTGGGTAGCGTAACGCGAAATAAGTCGTGTTAAGTTCCGATATCCTCCGAAGTGCGCCACTCTTCCTATGCAGTATCACATCCCGGTCGGTCGACCCAACCTCCCCATCACCTGGTATGATGGCTGCGACTTGGTTACAGGTAGGATAGTTGTATCTGTTCTTGTCCCTATTCCCGATCGCCATTGATTTAATTTTGATTGTCTTGACGACATTGCTATTGACAATTTCCTCTGCTGACTTATAAAGTTTAGCGAAGGGATTTTTGGCGTAAAGAAAGCGTTGGAACTTCTTCAGAATTTCTGATCGAAGACCACCCCCGGCAGCTTTTGACCGCGCTGCAGCCTCGCTGTCTTGTTGATCCCCGTTCATGAAGATCTGCGCAAACTTTCTGGGCTGTCCATCTGGTGGTAACAGCGAGCCGATGTTGTGACTGAGCTGACCGAAAATACGACATGTCCATGTGCCACCATTCCCAGCCACGGTCTTGTCCGTTTCGACGCCGTTGGAGGTGAAAGACAGGGCATTGTTATATGCACGTATGTGCTTCCTAAAATGCTTTGAATCTATTGGGACACAAAACACTGTTAGGAAGGTCGATTAAGACAACATTCATGAGACTCACCTTGGTCAGAGCCCGTGAATCAATTCTGCACAAACTTCGGTGCGAGTTTATTCTCGAGGTTGTCGCTCGGGAGTGCAACAGCTCGTTTCTGACAACACATGGAAAACGTTGCCCGCTCGGCTTTCCAGTCTTTCTGAGTTTGTTCACTTCGCCAATGCAATGCTCCACAATCAATACAAACGTCGTCGCACTGACCGATATCAAGCGGCATCTTGCCTGGGAATCGTTCAATGAGACTTTGTTCTGCTAACTCAGAGGTGTCTTTCGAAGCTGGGCCGTTGGGTGCTGCTGGGTATATTGAAGTCATTGGATTGAGATGAAGTTGCGCTGCAATGATCAAGTGTACATTTGTCAGTCATAAGCCCGAATGGGATTGCCAATAATCTATATGATTTCCTGGCTCACCTAAGTGCGATGTGTCACGGCTGAAGCTCGAGGTTTCGGCGGTCAGGAATTTGGACAAACAACGCCTTCAAGTAGCCAGGCGGCGAATTTACTGAGTACTCAGTTGGTCGTGGTCGTGAGAGTCAAGGAACGGTATATGAAAGTGGTGAGAACAATCAATCACGGAAAAAAGCCAAGAATCTTCTCATCCAGGCACGTACCGCCACCGGCGAGGTTCTTATGCTTTCTACTATCATGCGATATCAAATGACTTATAGAAATGATTTGGCCTGGTTGGGTGAATTAATCAGAATGATTTCAAATGCAAAGTATTACAACCAAGGCGGTTCAGAAAACAAAGGACTGGCTCTACGCGAGCAGACAGAAATGGTATTGGGCGATAGGATGGTCAGACAGATTCGGTGCCAGGCAAATGAAGTGTCAAGCACCACGTGGGTGTCGAGGTTGGCGGCCAGCCTTAGTGCCGCGCCCCGTGCTGGGTCCCTGCTCAGGCGGGTCAAAGTCCTCCCCCAAATCAGTTTCAAACAGGTCGTCATTGAACTCCTCCTCCGGCTCGACTGGAATCGCTGCGCGTCCTTTTCCTTTGCCAGCGGAGGCTGCTCGTTTCTTATTCGGGACTGCAACGTCCTCTCCAACTGTCAGGCCGGCCGCCTCCTTGTCAACCAAGTCATCGGGGACTGAAGCACCACCTGAGCGACCTTTCACTTTTTTGACTGGTGCCGCCCGCTTCTTTGGCGTCACAGGCGTCGCTTTAGCCGGGCTACTATTGTGCCTGTAATGGAGATGGTCAGCTCAGGTTGAGCGTATGTTTGAAAGTCACTGACTTAGCCGGTTTGACTCGCCCAGCAGGAGTAACCTGCGCGCACCCGAAGCTTTCTTTTTGCTGACCGTTTGATGACCGCTGCCAATGTTAAGGCCGGTGACCTATGCGAAATCAATGCCTAACTGTTAGTGTGGTTTTGTGGTTGGAACGTAATAAGATTGAGGGTGTACCTTACATCGACGACCCATCGCATGTGCTCTTCGTTCCAATCTACAATATACCTGTGAACCAACGTCTCCTTTCCTTCTTGGACTAATCCTTGCGTTTTTTTGAGGTTCGGAGTTGGCCTCATTCGGTACTCGACTTTGAACTCGTGAGTGGACTTGTCCTATACAATGTAAAACAGCAATCAGAGAGAATTCAAGAACAAATTTGGGGCACAATGATTTACTTCTGGGCGGTAGTCTGTGTGTTTCATGACAAAGGCCAATACTGGCGAATCCGAATTCAAATCGGGCATTTCAGTCTTCGCTACTACTATACCGAACCCGGAAGCTGCAGTGTTATCGTGCAGTGTGCCAGCAAAGGCGTTAGATTCCCCAAGATCGACCTTGTGAGTGGCGTCAAAGTAGATCTGGAAGTCGGCTGAATCGATCGATGGGATCATTCTGCCCTTAAGAGTGTAGCATCTTTCGTCCTGAACTTCGTCCTTTGCAGCGGAGTATCCAGTCATGACCCCGTCGTACTCCCGCTCGTTTTCATCGTTCCAGCCGTTGCACGTGATTGAGCCGGTGGAGTTTTGGTAGGTGAAAGTCTGATTATTAGCAGGGGCGAGCTATAGTTCATTGTCAGTTCTGGAATTGCGGAGGAAACCAAGAAAAACGTACTATTTCAGATATTTCGAATACACCTGACACGTTGAAAGGGTGTGATCGTTTGTTTGGAGCGTTTGAAGTGTTTGACATGGTGTCGTTGTGTAAGCGTGACGGGTGATACTTGCGATAACTCGATCTGTCACTTGCTTGTTTGGGATAGAATCGATTGCGGTTTAGAGAATGGGATTGATTGTAATGGATTAACAATTGGGTTCTTGCGGCAAGTCTGGCTCGCAGCGCTTCGCAGCGCTGCTAGACGGTATTTCAGAAGCGCAACTTGACATTTCCGTGACCAAGCTAGGTAGCTAGAGCCGCAGCGGCTTTTTTTTTCTCACACAACTTAGTAGCTGAAAGCGAAGTTTTTTTTCGCAGCGCCTCGCAGCGTTTCAGGCCAAAAAAAAACTTTTTTTAAATTTATTTTTGGGCAAGGTAAAGGAAACAAAAGCAGATCAAGAAATGGTACTCTTAGGTAAGGACTGTTGAGAAACCTAAAAATAAACGTTTTGTGATGTAAAGACCGTAATGAAAACATAAAACATAAAGAAAAATCAAATAAAAAGACATTTCAACAAACTTGATGTAATGTAAGGACTGTGATGAAAAAAGAAAAAATATGTATATTCAAAATCAATTAAATCAAAGTAAAAGAGTGTAGAGAAAACGATAAAAGGGATTAAAAAAGAGGTGAAAATCGAAGAAGACCAATCTAAAAATGACTCTTCCTAACTTTTTTTACAATCAACTTCTTGCCATACTCTAGTACCTTCCCTACTTCACCAAAGTCGCCAGTTAAGGGAATACCTTCAAGTGTCCAAATTTGACTGCTGACTAACATTTCAATCATGCGAGGAACCAATCCTCCTCGCTCTGCTGTGCAGACTCGTCCAGCCACCGAAAAGCATCTTTCGGGAGCAGCAGATGCAGCCGGCGTTGCTAGATAATCCCGAGCCAAGATGGATAAAACCGGGTATTTACACCCATGAGTCTTTAGAATTTTGTGTATTAGTAAGGGATACAATGAATGACTAAATAAAAAGGAAGGGGTACTCACTCTCCACCAGTCTAGTGCATGTTCTGGGTTGTTTGCATCAGGAGATAACATCGGATCAACACCTTGAATATATCGTTCAAGCTCGTTGATATTGCCGGATGTTGCAACCTCATCATACAGGTTCAAGAAGTCCCCTCCAAATCCTTTGTCAGGCTCAGGCGATTTGCTTGAGACTGTGGTGACTGGTTGATTACGAAGGTCGGTCGCCTCGCTTTCAAGTGTAAAAACACTTTCTAAAAGTTCCATTGCTCGATCATGACTGGCCGAGTCTTCCCCAAATGCGCGGGCAAAGAAACGGACTCGTAGACTTGGGTGGAAAATGCTGGCTAGAACAAGTGTGTCGCAATCGAGGGCTTCATTGAGATATAAGGTGATTTTACTTATCATTATATCAACCATTGGGAACAATGGATCATTCTCGTGCATTTTCTTGAGTCGCTCTTCCATTGACGCCTTGAGTTGTACATATTTAACTAACACCATACACCCTGTGGGCTTATCACCCTCCATTTCTCGGGTTAGAATTTTGTATGGCTGTAGAGTGTAATTCAAGTAATCAGAAAACATAATGGATCCAATTCAAAGTGGTAGTTGAACTACGTACAGTGAGAATATCAAGCATGTCACGCATTGCTTGCCAATCTCCAACTGAGAATACAAGCTCTTCAAAATAGCCGTACTTCTTACCATCTTTCCGTGGACGTCGTTTTTTTGAATGCACCTCAGCTAGATCGTCTTTCATGACTCGATCGATTAGCTGAAAGGGGAAATGAAATAAATTGGATGGGAGTTCAATAGATTTTCACAAATAAAGGCGGGGAATCAATAAGAATGATGTTGAGTCAAATGATAAAGAACCTGGCTTACGTCTCGCGCCTCCCACATTCGCTCCCAGCGTTCAGCCTGGATGCCCCATCGAATTCCGTGTCCTGAGAGGAGTGCCTTGAGCGCAGGTAATTCATCTGTTTTGCGTTGAGCGTTGACCCTTTCTCGCCGACGATTGAAATCAGCACGGTGAGCACTAGACCGTGTAAGTTTCTTGTTAACTGTGTCCATCTTGATTGGAACAATTTCAATCAAGAAGTCAGTATGTGAAAACCGCAGTGAATGAGATCTAGGGATTGAAATCGATTTACTTACATCTTTGGTCAAAGATTTCATATATGTATCGCCCAGAAGGTAAGCGGTCTTGCGATTTCGATAAGTTTGAGGCTCATCGTCTTGTTCACAATCTTCCTCTTCCTGGTCATCATTTGAGCTCGAATGATCTGTATCATTTGAGTGATTGCTTTCTATGTCGTCGTCAAAATCTTCACTATCAGCATTGTTCTCATCTGCATCTAAGTCCTGGACCCCGGGTGTGCTACTGAGGCCGTCCAAGCCATCTTCTTCTTCTTCAATTACCGCTAGGACTTCCACCGGTGGAAAACGACCCAAGGTGCTGTGTCGAATACGTCTTGGTTTCATTCCAAGTGCGTCCAGGCCTGCCTTCACAATTAATCCCATTTTATGGCAGAAGCATCGAACTGACATTGTTTTCGGTTTCCACATAAGCTGATGATCTTGAACAAAACTCTGTTCCTCGAGCTGTCGATGGATTTCGCGGCCCATGGTAAAATTATTGCTTCCTGAATCGGATACACTGGCGAGCATGTAAAGGTTGGGTTAGGGTTAGTAAATGAAACCAAAGAAAATACGCTTTGATAATGAAGAAAACTGCGACATGCTCTCAAAAACACATCCGGGTGTTTTTGAGAGCATACGGAACCAAGCTCAGAGATCCGGCTGAGAGCTTAGGTTCCTGAAGCAGGAATGAGTGAAAGAAAAAAAAATAGAATAAAATAAAATGGGGACTTATCTTTTTATATAGTCCATTCTTTTTCAAGATGGCTACCATCGGCTCAGCAAGTAAATGCCCTTGATGATGCCATGCGACAAGTTTCAAACTTAAATGCCGAACAACATACTTCCAATCTTTCTTGATGTAAGAGATTGACGCCCCGATGAAGGCGTGAAGGTTTCCCTTCACTGTCCAAACATCTTGGATAAGACAAAATTTGCTGTCCAGATTCTGGAACAAATGAATTTGAAAAATATCAAATCAAATTGAGATATGTTCATAAGAAGAGAAAGTTGCATTGAGACAAAGTCGAAATAAAAAAAGGGTTGCTTACTTTGAGCTCTTTTTCAATCACTAATCCACGAAGTGACAGATAGAGGCGTTTGGCCTCTTCAGCGGACCATTTTCGGCCAAATACACGCGCATCGGGGCGCAGCCAGTACAAAATTGCCCTAAGAATTGGGTCTTCGATTCGTATGAACGGCAATGCATGTGAGACTTGCCACACCGAGAGGCACTGATTCAAAGTTTTGTTGGAAAAGGTTGGTGGACCGTTGACAAAGGCGGCTAAGGAACTTTGGTTTTTCTCTTGAAGACGCTGAGTACGTAGATTGGATTCGGTTGGTGGGAGGTTGGCACCGGCAGAGATGGCCATGTTGCGACGTGGGCAGCCGGCACCCGACTTACCAGCTTGCTTGCTACCATCTCTGTGTACCTTGAGGTTGGATCGAGAGCTACCACTGATCCTGACAACCTTATGGCACCAGAGACAAGGGTAAGACAAACCTGGTTCATCAAGAGGCTAAAAAATCGGTTCAATGTCAGCTATTACAACAATCTTGGTAGAAGGTAATGATTGATGAATAATAACTAGAGAGACTTACATCTTGTTCTCCATGAAACGCTTGTCCAAAGAACACATAAGGACTGTCGAATTCCTTGACAGGCTGGTTCCTTTTCCTTTTGGTGAGACGAAGGTTCTCTTCGTCGGAGTCTTGTGCCAGATCGACGTCAGGAGCACCAGAAGCAATCTATAGTGATTGATGACAAAGGTAAGTAATCAATACTATTCTTTGGGAGACATGATCTTGAATCTTTGACTTACCGAGAGTGATGCTTGACTGTTCCTGCCCCTGAGAGCAATGGACTGCACTCCAGAACGCTCATCATCGTCACCAGATTCAGAGACAGAGTTTTGATTATTCGTGGTTCCAGTGGCCTATAAATCGATGTAGATGATTAATGAGTTATGAACAAATGAAGATCTAGGTATAGTAGGAAAGAGAGACTCACTGAAGACGATGGACGAGAGACCGTCTTAGATCGGACACGTCCAGTCTGGCGAATTCCCACCTGGTCTCCTGGTAAGGAGGCGGATCGCTCACGGCGTCGGTGGACATGGCAGTCTCTGACATCCCTGACAGTGAACAAATCCCCCACGCCACCTAGGCCACGACGAGAATCAGATGATGGGATAATCATCCCAGGTGCTGGTCTTGCTGGGGTGGTTATTCGAGAAGAGCGACGAGGAGGGGCAGTAGACGCATCATCGGTCTCGTATCCAGAAGGAATGAAGGAATCAAGAGTTTGCTGCTTGTGAGACATTTTCGATTCGATTTTAGAGAATATATTTAAAGAAAGTGTGATATGATTAGGGTAGATGTAAAATTGGAAAAGAAGTCAGATCAGAACTGATAGATGATACTGGTGTTGCTGTGATTGAGAGTTTGGAGGAAAGACTTGCGTACCTTTATACTCAAAAATAGGTAAGCACCGGCTCCCATCCGACTGATCGACCAGCAACTGTCCACGTTTGAAAACACGGCGTATCAGTAAATGAGGTGGCTATCGTTGGTTAGAGAGAAACACTAACCTGTTACCCATACAACTACTGCACAAATGATGAATGTCCACGTTTTGTGAGATCGCGAGTTTTCAATTGAAGTCGTTTCGATGTGAATAGTCGAAGGTGTGAGGATTTGTGGCTTGAGATAGCAGACCTTCTGTAACAGAAGATTTGTAGGAATGATCGGTTAGGACAGAGATAGTGATCGAAATGGTGTAAAGGGTGGTGATTGTTGTAATGGGGGATGTGTCGGAAGGGTTAGTAAGGAGAGATCGTGATTGAACTTCAAATTGGTGTAGTAAGGGTTGGGTGGGTATTCAGGGAAGCGTGGCGTTAGTGTAACTGATAGCCTCGGGGTATCCGAAAGCGGACAGCGCAGCACCCAAAAAACCGGAGCCAGAGTAGTAACTCGAGGCGTAGCTCCCGGGTCTTTGGAGCCCCGGGTAGTTAAGCGGTAGCCCCGGGCGCCGCGCTAACGCGCGCTGCGCGCTTCTGGCTACGCTGCGAGCCAGACTTGCCCTAAGCCTGACCCCCCAAGGCTATTCCCTATCTGCTAATGTTTTCACTATCAGAGTCTGTCAAGTGTTTTTTGTCACATCCGCAGGTACTCATTTTGTGTTGTCTTTGAATGTATGGTTCTTTTTGACTGGAAAGATATTTGGTATCCTAACTTTTTTACACTATTTTTGTCAATATTGCAAGCTTTCAGATATCATATCTCATTCTCCTCATGACACAACATATAACATTGCAAGAATTTTAACTGACAGTCTTTAGAACAGTATACATGATGTATGCAAATTGATTAAAAGAACTACTCTCAAACATACCAATATCAGCAAACATTCATCAATGGACAAACCAAAAGGGACAAGGAGATGATAGTCAAAGGAAATCTATTGATACAAAATATTTTCACATGAGATCATTTAGTTCTGCTAAAGAAAACTGCTGACTACAATATCATGTACTGGAAGACTAAATTCAATGATCATTCTGGGATATTAAAGCAGAAACTTGACCCATTTAACTCAAAACTTCAGAAAACTTCAAAAACCTCAAAAACTTCAAGAACTGTGTGATACCAAATCCAAAGTTTAGAATTTTCAGTCAATCTTCAACTACAAGTGTTACAGAGATTTATGGCTACAAAAAAGTCAAATAAGATTAAGATCCCATACTCATTCCAATCAATAGGATACAAAAGAGAGGGCCAAGAATTTTCAACACACATACAGTGGGTCCTCAGCCAATTTCAAAGATGAATCAACTGCACTTTGTTTCACAGAATCTTGATTGATGCTAAGAAAATCCACTCAATCATCTTCATCAATTCACCCCTTTAAAATCAAACTTCCAACACAATCTCAATAATGATAATAAGTGATTAAAGCTTGGAAAAACAAATTCAATCTAGTTCTCCTTATCATCAATTACAAACTACACAATATCTTCAATTGCTTACTTTATCAAATTTATTCTTTCAGTAAGATCCTCATTATCATCCTCATCATCTCTCCTTTCAAGAAAGACTCCTGAACCCCCCTTGCACCCAATTTCTCCAATGTGGTTTTCTAGTTATTTCTTTGTGATAATCTGAATCAACAGTTTTAGGTAGATAGTCAGCCACTCCAATTGGAACCATAGAATGAAATCTGAAGATCAAACAGCTTGAATATTTTGTTGATTGGGTTAAGTAAAGTGAAAGATTCAAATGGTTCTGATTGGTTCAGGAAACCTGGAATGATTGGGTTTGGTCAATCTTTGTTCATCAGATCACCATTTATTGCTATTGAAATGGTGACTATTAGTATTGTGACCTACAGTCAAACCCATGAAATACAAAAAGTCATCCATAAATGCGGGAATTGGCGGAAATACATAACTTCATGCATTTTCACAGGTCAAGGGTCATGCTTGAATACTTAGCACTCAAGGCTTATGTATGCATAATTATATGCATTCTGATCCTGTATTTGGGCTAAAAGCTATGCAATTAGGCTTCCAAGACCTGGTTTTTTGAATTTGAACCTATGCATTACCATTTTTGACATAATTATGCCATAAACCCAACTTTTAACCCACATCAAATTTGGGGGAGTCCTGGTCCAGCAAAATGGTGGATTATGCAGTTGCACGGGTATGCAATTGTGCATGCTTGACTATATTCAAATAAAATCTGTAGTTTAGATTTATGTAGCCTTTGGGATCTTAGCAGACTGTAGAGGTGATCACATGATGATTTTATATATGAACAGAGATCCCCAATTAAGCAAACAAAATCGATTATTGTATCAACAAGAGATTTATTGTTTTTCAAAGTCAACTCACCAGAAACAATACTTTAATTTGTTTGTTCTATTTCAATTTGATGTTTTCAAACATTGAGCAAAATGAAACAAATGAAATTTTGAAATCACCAGTCTAAATATTTGAATCAAAGAAAGCTAGGTTTGTAAAATTTAACTTAGGTAAATCTCTTCAATACATTCATGCACCTATAAGTCTGAATAATCATACATAAAATGGCAATGTGTCAACTACCCAGATCACCAAAGAATCAATTTAAACAGCATCAATTTGCCAAGAAGTGGGGTTTGAAACTTGCTTTTTGAAACTTTTTTGGGTTTGAATTGTAATCAAAAGTATTTTCATGAGATTCTGATGAGTTCACTTTGATATTGCATATATTCATGGATCTTTTGTCAAGAGGTGAATAAGCATAAATCATACAAAGATATTATAAATAATACAAAGATATCATATATAATACAAAGATATCATAGATACTACAATGGTATCATGAATAATACAATGATATCATAAATGATACAATGATGTCACAAATAATACAATGATATGATTTGAAATAGTTCTGTTGGAAGTATCAGCTTGTTAGAAATGGTTTTTAACAAGTTAATTAGACCTGTGACTCCTCCTATCGTGAGGGGTGGGGCGCTCAGAGGGTGAAAGTTATGGCAGCGAGCGCGGTGACTGAAATGAGTCCTTGTAGATAAATGATTCTCTTGTTTTGGTCAACCTGAGCGTAGAAATAACCCAGCAGACCTCCCCTTTGGCTGCTCAAAATTCACAGTTGTTAGGGGAAACAGTGGAGGTTTTGTCAGGTTTTTTGGATCGCTTGTTCGCCTTCAATATGAATGAATTGTGAACGATGAATGATGATGATTACGGACAAACTAGGAGTATTATTTCGAATTCCAATGTACATAGCTCACACTTCAAGTGACAATTTAGATCAGGAGGCAAAGGCAGATGATTTTTTGTGGAAATCAGAGACGTTGAGACTCCTTTCGCATGAGATGAATCCATAAAGTTTGTTGTTATTATTTCGGTAATCCATAACAAAGTCACAATATGCAAAAGGATGGGATGTGGAACAATTGTATAGCTATGGAAAGATTGTCAATTGATAAGAGCAGAGGAAATTATCGCATCAAAATTCATGAGGATATAATTTGCCAGAAGGCTTAGACAGGGGCGTTTTGTCCCTTGGTACCGGCTTCGTTGTTGCTGTTGATGATCATAGAGTCAGAATGTGGCTCTTGATATAAATGTGTAGAATAGACTTACAAATCCCAGATAAGATCTCCGAGATAACCTTGCTTGAGCTCTTGAGCAGTAGGCTCAAGGTCGTAGAATGTCTGTGGGAGCAATGCGATGGTCAGCACGAGCAGAAACAGAAAGAGTTCGTTGCGCTACCTTGTTAGATAGAGCAATCTGGGTGCAGCCGACGGTCACGTTTTTGGAGTAGAACGAGCAACCTATGAAGAGAAAATATCAGAGCTGATCCTCAAAAGAAGTGATGCAATCGACTTACCGTCAAGGACAGGGACATAGAAAGGCTTGTCGGGGCGACCCTTGCGTTGGACATAAAGCTGCTTACCGCAGTTAGAAGTCTTTGCACTGTGGATGACAAATAGGTGAGCGAAAGACTTTGACCCGGAGAACCATACAAATGCCTACCCGTTCAACCATCCAGCTGTGGCGGTGTCATTTCCGTAGACTTGTTCTGATCCAACCCATAGACACGCGCCGGGTTGATTGGTCGAATAGTTTCCGCAAATCTATGCAGACGAAGGGGGCAATTAGGATAAAAGATAGAATACGGGGCTTGTGATTCCCAAAAGGCTTACACCTGGCCCATCCCGCATGGCGAAGGACTGAAAAAAACGAAAAATCAGCACATTTTCATTGAATAAAGCATCAATGGACTGACAGTGTTGGTGTCCTCGGAAGTGTAACGACGTTGAAGAGTTTTTTGGTTGTGGTGTTGGAACTGGTGATAGATGGGTTGTGGACATCAGTGAATGACAAATACAACCGCGCCAGAGATAGAAGCACTTACCCGCTCGACTCCTTGGAAAGGTGGCTTGCCATTGGTAGCGTTGCAGCGAGTTCGGTCGTCGGCAGCAGACCATACACATCCATCTTTTTTCATAAAGTAGTTAAAGCATTCGGTGTGGACTGTAGCCTTCACAGCAGGAAAGGCCACAAGGGCAGTCGTAAGGAAAAGGACAGTAACAAAACGCATGGCTGATTGTCGTATGATGAAAATATGTTATATGATAAATAAGTAATATCTGTGAGGGGAATATTAACCAGACAGTCTCTGGATGGGAAGAGTGGATGATGTTAAGAAAAAGTACGAGCTGGACGGGGTTTATATACTTACCTGTTGCAAATATATTGGAGCTTAAATAGAAGGCATAGCAGCGATCATGTGTCCTCTACATAGAAATCACCTCTGCCGGTGGCTTTCTTACATTGAGGCTTCAGCTAGGGCCCTGGCGTATCAATTGAGGAGAAGCTTCCAGCGGCACAGGCAGGAAGCACCACTTTTCCGGATTGTTGAATGGTACAGTAGAAACACATGTCTTGTGATGAAGTTGGTGAATGTAGAATCGAGCTTCCTAAAACCCACTGTTGGATTCGTTTTCGAGTGTGGCTGTGTTGAAAGAGATACTTGAGTCAATACAGAGCCCGTAGGCGTCATGAGTCATGACTTCGAGCACGCAGTGGTTCTGAACCCCTAATCACGCGGGCCGATTATTTGGGACGCCCATCTGAAAAGGGACTTTTGGCTTCTTCTTCAACGCACAACTCCCGAGCAAGGTATGATCTCGAAAGCTTTCTGGCAACTGAAACTGAGTCGCGTCGTAAATAAGTGTGAACATGTGATGCCCTGCCCCTACCTTCAGGAGAAACCCTAGCCCTTATGGTCCTCAACTCTAAGGCATAAGTGCCGAGATTTTGCTTGAAGGGGCAATTATGAATTCATCTTATTTAGGAATCGGGCCTTTCATCATAAAACTCGACCATCCCATCAGGCAGGGAGCAAAAGGATCTTGAAAGCAGTCTACCTGTGTTTGAAACTGTTGTATAGCACGGAGTGCATCTTCAACACACTTTTTTTGGTTGACCTCTGAGAGTTAACTGAGGAGGTCCGGGCGGGGCGGGAGCACAACAAAAAAGTGGTCGGCAGAAACCATCAAATGTGGTATTCTTATTGGCACACCTCTCAAAATAGGGTGAGTGGCTGTCATAATTACAGTGGTTATGATGAGTGAAGATCACATCTGGGGTACGCAACCCTGAATTGGACTTATTTTGTGGAGGTCATCAGATGAGTCTTGAACCAACTGATAATCTCATCTGTTGATTCGTTGAATGCCTTCTTTTCTGATGGGTTGTCCTATATATTTTCATTACCGATCCATCAGAGTTTATTCCCTTACAATTGAGAGTTACATATGAAAACCAATCAAAAACACATACCAGATCTGCCCGACAACCGAATCCATGTGACGCGCCGGGGTAATAGTTTCGCTTGTACCCAGGTTTGTACTGTGCGGTTGAATGTATTGACAAGATTGGTGAGTTTGCTAATGTTCGTGCATTTTTTGTGCAGGGTTACGACATACCTTGCCATCTCCCAAGATTTCGTCAGTCACCCTTTGGAATTCGATCGGGAACTGCCCATCACTGCAACAAGAAGCAGATTAATTGTTAGATGATATTTATGTGAAAGCTAGAAGCAAAAGGCCAACTCAACGTTTCACAAGAGTTAATCAAGATTGGAGCATGACTGGATTTCAACAGTTTCTCAATGTCTTTGGGATTTTCTAGAAGACTAGGATGACTGGTAGCTCCGACCTTCAACCCATTCTCTTGAGCAAGGTTGAAGACATATTTACCACCTATGTACGGAACAGAATCAACATATGTCCACTTTCAAAATCAATACATCAAGATTCAACCTCACCAAAGCAGTATCCAACGGCTGCAAAGTCCGTGAATCCTTTGGCCTTGAGAGCCTCGATGGCTTTATCCAGAGGGGGTCTTGTTTGTTCTGGGCCGTGTTTTTTAAACCAATCTGGGACTGAAAAGTTCGTCCCTCCATTCATTCCATCTTCTGGAATAGGATCACCGTTCAGATAGTCGATCAAATATGCCGATACGCCAACCTTTTTCGCGAGTTGATCAGTGATCATTTGAACATTCTTGAGCTCCACTCCAAACACGTCAGGTAGTACCAAAATCGCCTTGTGAGGGTGAGCGTCAGAGGGTGTGAAGCTGTAAACTTTCACGTCGTTAAGCGTCTCGAATTTTCCGAGAGCTTCACCTGTACGTTGACATCCAATCGAGTGAGTATTAAACGCGCCGAAGGGTGAGGCTCAAGGACCGGACCGCCTTACCCTGATGAATCACCCCTTCACTCGATGAGTCCATAAATATAAGTGGGATCGATCACGGATATCACACAAGAAAGAAAGCACGCTCATTAACACAATGGGCATGACGCTGAGATTCAAGATGGTACATGGGAACAGATCCTTTTTGTCTATCGAAAGTTTAAAGCAAGACTAAAGCCTACCACTCAAGCACTGGTCGTCGCAAGCCATTCTATTGATGAATGTAGATTTCTCGTGAGGAAGGTTTGGATGTTTTTGTTTAATGCCAATTAAGAACTTCAGGTGATGGGGTCGATTGCAGTCATCAAGGGGTAAATGATGCTGATGACGTATGTGATCCCGGCCCGATGAAAGGCCAACCTCAGGCTGAGCCGATCAATTTCGCCATACTCGGCCTCGGGCGCCCCGGCCGAGTCCTTGTGTTGAGTCTTGACGGATACTACTCGTACGAGAGCCCATTTTGATTTTCCATTCGACACACTTTCAAAGCAACACTTCCACATTTCATTCTCAGGTCAACCGTCATAGTGCTGAGTACAACACACACCAACCATAATGGATTCACGGAAAGTCAAGTTACAGAATTATGCTGAACCCGATTTGGAAGGATTTGCTAAAGTAAATTAAATCACTTCATTTCTCATCTTTCCATTCAAAATGGTCATCTTCGCTTACAAAACCTCAACACACTCAATCCAAACAGCCCAGAGAGCTCGATGACCAGTGCGTGTTTGAACCCAAGACCTATTCTTAAATGAATAGGGAACTTGCTCGATACCTTCGAGATCTTCACGATACCAAAATTGCTCACATCATCATCTCTACATCCTTCAAACTGGGCTGTCGAGCAGCAAGCTTAATGCTTTCGTCTCTGGACCGTCCAAAAAATCAAAGTACGTGAAAGAAAAAGAAGCTGCAGAAGCCAAGAAAAAGGAAGAAGAAGAACTCGCAGCAAAAGCCTACGAAGACTTTGTGGCTGTCTTCGATTCTAACGATCGGTCGGGCAGTGGTCGAGGTAAATCTGGCTCCGGTCAAAGTAAAGTTGCTCAGGGGAAGACTTTTGTCAGAGCAGGTGCATCTGGTCAGTAGAGTGATCGGGTCTATCACCTCTTCATTTCAACACCCATCTATACTTTACTCTTTGTTCTCACAATCTTCGACTTTCCCTTTGTAGGTGGCCCAGCGGCTTTGTACAATCCTATAGTGGAAAAGGCCGAGAAGGCTGCTACCAGTACTTCCGAACGACCTCAACACTCTAAGTTGACTTTCTTCGAAAATGAAGATGTCCGTATATCCTTTGAACGATGTAGCATAGTACCAGCAGGCTAACCGCTCGTTCTCTCTATCGAAACGCAACCCGGCGCCTCTCGATCTTTGCGCTGGTGTGAATATGACCCTGTATCAGGAACCGGCCTCAAACAATGCTCCTTCTCATTCTTCTCGGGGTCCAAGGCCAATGCGTGCTCTGTCTCCGAGTCTCCCAAACAATAATGCTCCTACCTCGTCGAACATCGGCGCGGCACCTACCACGCACCGGAAGCTCCGTGCCGGAGAAAGCTTTCTAGAAGAGTTAAAAAGGTTTGCAACTTGACAAGAGTCATAGGGCCTTATTCTTCTCGCCCTCAATCGGCAAGGGTCACTTCAATTTTATGGAAACTCAAATCCCTGTAAACTTTTACTATGAGGACAGGAAAGACGCTGAAAGAGAAGGGAGACTAGGTGCGAAGGCCAGCAAGGATCCTCGTGGGATGAGTATCACAGCTTTGGCTGGTCAGTGCTTCATTTGAATATCACTCTGACTGCCCTAAGAAAGACGGTAAAGTTGATAGCGTAATCATCTTTGGAATTTGTATCGTAGCATTGGAAACTGCCCCTTACTTATCTGGCGGTTCAAGAGATACTGGCGACCCCTTGACCACAAACGTTCACGTCGGGAACTTGCCTGGCACTATCTCCGAACAAACTCTGGGGGCATTTTGCGTGAAGTGGGGTCCGATCGTTTCTCTAAAAGTAGCTCAAATTCTCTTTTGAACATCAGTTGTGCAATCGAAGTCAGGCTCACGTCTGTGTGTACATTGTCACGGTCTTTTTCAAGATTATGTGGCCACGCAGCGGTAGCGATAATATCGGTGGTGCTGGATATGGTATGGTTGCTATGCGTCAGACTAAATCAGGTGGCCTCAATGGTTTTGTCTCCTACATGAGGTAAGTTTCATCTTTTGCACCGTCTCGCATTCTCTTGCACGAATTAACCAGGTGCTGGATTACGTTTGTACAGGCGATCCGATGCTGAAAGAGCATGTCGCGAATTGGACGGTTTCGATTGGGGTGGCAATATCTTACGTACAGGGTGGGGTAAAGCGATGCCTATGCCACCTGGTCATAAAGCACAATTCGGTATGCATTTTGGAAAAGCCACATTGACTACATCGCTCGATTTGTGATCTCCTGCTCAACTAATGTTCTGCCCATCGTATCATGTGAAACAGAGTTACCGAGAGAATCTCGTATGACATCGCGATCACCATCACCCAAACGCCGCCGATATGCGAAGTCTTCGCCTAATCGCGACTCCCGTCGCCGAAGAAGATCCCGCAGTACCTCATCGCCCGATTCCCGTGATTATGACCGACACCGTCGCTCTCGATCTCGCTCAGATGAGGACAGGGGTCGATCATCGAAACGCAGAAGGCAGTATGACTCCCGGTCCCGTTCGCGATCAATGTCTCGATCTCGATCAGTCTCATATGATCGTTCCAGGTCACGTTCGAGATCTTATCGTTCACGCACTAGGTCCAGATCGCGTAACTACAAGGATAACCGTATTTGGCCAAAACTACCTAATGGAGAAGAAGAAGAAAAATTTATCACAACAGTGGCTAAAAAGGTTCTCGAGCATGGAGAACGATTCGAAAGAACGTTGAGAGAAAGAGAAAAGTCAAACCCCAAGTTCAATTTTCTCATCGAAAGTGATGTACGTGGCGTGTTTCCTGTGGTAGCATGATTCACGTCCAGGAGCTGATCATACTGACACTTCCTTTTTGCTGATGTTGTCCCCATAGGCCCCAGCCCATCATTATTTCAGAATGCTTATAGATCGCCATTATCGTCCACCATCTCCCCCTCCGCCCACATTCGCCGATGAGGTCATTTCATCATCCAATCATTTCAAACAAGATTTTCTGTCACTTACTCATACATTTATGAATTTATAAACTACTTTCAGGGTTACGCTTCTATCTACTCTACGGATTCAGCTGAAGACTCAGAAAATGAACGGTTGCCTAAGGGTAAACTGGGGAAATATAGCCGCAAACGATTTCAAGCTATGCTTAGGAGCGTCACTCCACAGCGAGAAAGGATTGCAAGATGTATGGCATTTGCATTGCATCATGCCGATGCAGCTGATGAAGTGAGTGTACCCCTTGAGAGACAGGCATTTGAGTTTTACTCCAACCTTGCTGATTCGTTTACGACATTGCTAGGTGGCGGAAATATTAGTCCAATCTTTAACAATTGATATGACACCCATTCCACGCAAGCTAGCACGACTCTATGTAATCTCCGACATCCTACACAACAGTTCAAATTCTTTACCTAACGCGTGGAAGTATCGACAAGTATTAGAGAAACTGTTGCCAGATGTATTTGATCATCTTAATTTGATCTATAGATCATTTCCAGGTCGAATTAAAGCGGAAACGTTCAAAAAACAAATCACAGTCATTGTGAATGTATGGAGTTCATTTATGGTGTTCAGCCAAACTTCAATTGATGATTTTAATATCAGGTTGGTGAAGATGGATGAAGAAGAGATTGATGGGGACGGAATCTACACTGGACCAGAAGGAGATGATGTGGATGGGATGGTAGTTGAAGAGTGGAATGATGAGAATCCTGAAAGTCAGTCTGATTGATTTTTTTTGGATATGTTGATTGTAAAGCTGATTCATCTTATTCTTCCAGTAGATGGTGAATTAGGAGGCAACGATGTAACCACTCGATCTAATACAGGGTTTGCACCTGCTTTCAAACCAGCGGTAATGGAGAAAAGCTCTTCAACTTCACAAAATGAATCTGAAACAGGTCCTGTGAAACTTTCAGGCGCAATCAAGTTGCTATGAAGAGCTAAATTTCAAATTTTCATGTTCTAATTAGTTTGGAAGATTTGCTTCAGGATGGACCTGGCAGTAAAGTACTACTACTGATTTGTAGGTGTTAGTACTTTTGATATGCCAAGTCTGTCAAATCTTCATAATTTTATCATTCAATAGTGTTTGTTATACATCATTTTGTTATACGTTGCTGGCAAGATTTAGTCAAATGAGGGATTGAAAATACATTGGTTAAAAAAGTCTTATTTGGTCTCAAATGTTGAGGGACTAGAGTTTCATACCACATTCTAGAGTTGTATACCACATTCTGACTGGGAAAATTCACTCCATATTGAGGGAATTCAAGTTGGGAAAATGCCTAAAATGCAACTGACCCTATATCAAAATGCTGCCTGAAAATTATACAGTTCATAATTGATTCACATTCAAAAAAAATGCCTTGAATGATTTGAAAAAAAACTGAATGATCACAGCAAGACTGTGTGCCTGTGTTGATTGATCTGCAGACGGCAGATCAACTGCTGTACCTGCATCTACATTTTGCTGTGATTATTTGAAAAGTCTTTCAAAATATCTGAAAAGTTTCTTCCAAATGCCCAATCAACTTGAGGTTCATTGTGGGTTTTCCCTAGGCACTGAGGGGATTTAGTTGAGTGTATCAATTATGACTACGGCTGTAAGTTTTGGAACAAACATCAGAAAGCCCCACCTGAGAAGCACATTCCTAGCAAAATAAATCAATAGATTTTGAAGGACTGGGAGGCCAAGATACATCTCCCTGTGTCTTAGATACATAACCTGTAAGCTAAACCAGCTGGTACCATACTTGTTTCCTCACACCATATGAGATGGCCCATACAAGGGCAGTTAACTGATGGAGTATCCCTCTTGAAGGTAGTTAGGCACTTGTTGGCCAACTTGAAACCCACTACTGTTATCCTGTCATACACAATTAATTGCCCATGGTCTGTCACATAGTAAGATAGCTTGATGAGAACTCATGCTTGTGTGATTCAAACCTTGGCCACTAGTTCCAAGGAAGTACATGTAGTCAGCCATCACCTCAACCTGAATCATCTAACCCTGAGACTTACTAACTAGATGGCACTGTCAGTTTTTAAGGAATTACAAAACTTCAATCTGTTGAATTGAGAGAAGCCAAAGCACCATATAGTAAGTTGGACATGCTAAATACAGGTTTGATTGACTTGCAAGCAAGGAAAGATGAATAATCAGACTACCAACTGGCCAAGTGAAGTGGGTGTCTTTTTGGAGCACGTCATGGACCAGATTCAGTCACCAAACCCTTCCAGGGTATGCCTGAACAAGACCTACAGTGGTTCTATCATATCTTGAGCTTTGCAAAGAGAAATGGCTAATGTTTATACTGCACTAAACATTGAAAGTTACCACTGTGAAGTCAAAAATACAGATGTCATTGGTTTAAATCTGGTTAAAAGCTCAAATTTGAATAGATATTTTTATGGCCAGCATATAATGGAATTGATGCAGATAACTTTAAAGTTTCACCACTGAAGTTTTCAAGTAAACTCGGAATTTGATCAAGCAGTTCCAGCCTAAACATATTCACCCAGATTGTCTAGGTACAGTAATGGTCAAGACATGAACTATTTGTGCCAAGATATGGAATTAAATGGAAGCCCAACAACTCAACTTTGACGGCACTTGATCAGAACCCATCACAAATTTCTTAATCCACCTACTGGCCAGCTAACCCTTGGCCAGCTACATTTCTTCTATGCAAATTCTTGAATGAGGGAAGGGGAAGAAATACAGATTATGCCACCCCAGTGATAAACCACAACAGGCAACCCCCTCTAAAGACATCACCATTGAAAGGCTTAACACCCATATGACCATAGGTTTTTTGTTGTCCCAAACTGGGCAGCACCGGTAAATAGGTCCGCGGTAAAGACATGACCTCTCTACACCCAGATAAGATCCTTCCCACCAAGTGGTATTGGTTTAGGAGGGTTTGCCTGTGTCAGATGTGTCAGGATGTGGGTGTGAGGCAAAAAACATCCCTCAGACATAGCTTATGGGAGGTGTGTCATGGTGCAAAATGGAATCCAAAAAGGGGGTTGGAACACCTTTTGAGATATCACAGGCTGTCATTTCAAGAGAAGACTGATTAAAATACTAATGTCTATGGATACTTTGGGTGAAGCAATCACAGTGCCAAAATAGCTGCTCACATCAGGGTGAGCATTGAAATTCTCTTGTTTTGTTCAACGTTTGTTCGATTTTGCTTCCAAATTCTCTCCCTTTTCATCCTGTTTTCTTCCTGCTTGTTAGCTGATTACATGATTGAAAGGAGCTGACACTGCAAATATAATGTGTTTCTCTGTGGTGAAAAATGAGTACATTTAATCCAAAAATTGATTAAAAGTGCATTAAATCTGCATTATTAATCATTTTGTGCATTAAGTTCAATCAGTTTTTGCCTCAGAGAAACACATTATATTTGCAGTGTGAGCAGGTGAACTAGTCCTTCCTCAGGCTTCATTCCTTAGCAAAGAAGCCTGAGGAAGGGCTGGCACATCTGCTCCCTTTATCTCAGACCCTCAGCTGATCCTCAGTGGCATGCCTCAGAGCCTGCCGATCCAGGATCTTGGACAAGGTTCTGAGCTGTTCTGAGTATGCAGTGACTCATGAACTGATTCTGAGTACTCATCTAAGAGACTGAGCTCAAAGAATGCTCATCCAAGATGGGAATGAGCATTCTCCAGCAATGTACAGAAAAATTTGAGCAAAACAGCCTGATCACCTGAGCAATACCAAAATTTTTAATTGAAGGAATCTGAAAGAAAAATAATCTTTTTTGGAGAATTCAGGAAAGTGTAAAATGCTCACCTATGTGTTGTGCATCAATTTTGGACCCTGTGAATGAAAGGATCAAACTAACAAAACAACAAACACTGCTTGGCCTAATGTGTCAAGATGTTGCAGTGTTACAGAAGATGAGAGGCTGTTTTCAGGATAATTTGATGTCTTTTGAGATGATGAGTCCACATATTTTCCGACCCTGGTTCCTGCTTCTTGAAACTTGATGATGCATATCTCAACTATACACCCACTCTAATCCATCATCATGTTTGTAAGATATCTCAATTACTCTTGAATGATTTACAAAGAGGAAATTATAAGAAACCTTCATCAAATACAGCTCAATTACAATCTGATCCCTCAATTGGTAATGATGTGGTTTTGAGTGGATTTGACAAGGCAAAAATTGGTTTTGTTCTGAATCAGTGCTGTGGTAGACTTTACTAAGTGTCCCTGTCCCTCAGAAGAGCTCAAGCAAGGGACTTACACCAAACTTGCAGAGTGATTGGTGGTCATCAGATCTTTTGCAGGAGTGAATCTTGCAATCTGTTTGGGAGACTCCCCACCAAATATTCCTTCCTGGAGCAAAGATAAAGACTATGTGCTGAGTTCTTGTGTAGGTTTTTGATTCTTTTTTGTTGAGGACATTGATTCCTTCTTGCACTGAAATTGTCTTGAAGATTAGGCCTCAAAGGCAACTTTGGATTTGAGAAGGACATTACATGTGTAATATGGACACCACTATTTGGCAACCACATTTTTGACCCATTGCCCTGACTCAAATTCCAGCAAATTTGCTGCCTGTTTCTTTTGTGAAGTTGCCCGGTTTGGAATTTCAAACCGGATTGAAATTTCTTTTGGAATTCCTTGAAATCTCACACTTTTTTTCAAATTTGCTCATTCGACTTGATCACATGTGATCTCGCCTTATGTTCTGTTCATTGAGTCTTGCTTTCGATGTTCATCTTTTGGTTTGAGACACCTCATCCTCACTTTGTACTTACTACAAAACAAAACACACCGCTTCAAATTTCTCTCAAAGAACAAGTAGCAAACAAAACCAAGTTGTTCATAATGAACGTGATGTGACACTGCCAGCATAGATGCCTCGGGTTGAGAAATCCGAGGCATCATCGGAGGCAAATCCTCGGACAGACCTTGTCCAAGGTTTTTGCCCGAGGTATTTTTTTGCCCTGAGAATTACCTCGGATCAAAACCTCAGGAAGCTTCTGTCCGAGGTTTTGCATCCAAGGATACCTCGGATTACAAAATCCGAGGTAAATATGTTGGTGGTGTGAGCAAAGAGCGTGATGATATACAAGACAAGATAAGATCAAAGGAAACGAAGAAATTATTGTGAGATATCCACAAACAAACACATGAGACCAACGGTTGTCGCAAAAAATGAGACAACCAATACAAAACTGGAAAATGAGACAGGAGAAAGCCTTTCCTATCTAATTGATCTCAATAACCTTTGACCCACCTTTGTATGTTGGTGGTGGCACACTCCACAAATGTAAATGATCTTGGTAAGCCTTGGCCCAAGCAGGTACAGTGGTGGTGTCAAGAATAGATGTGGTTGAAGCTCCAATGTTGATGTAATTGGTGGAGAGGTGGTGGTAGCATGTTGATGTAAGTGGTGGAGAGTGGTGGTAGCCCGGTTTGATATTGTTTGATATCGATTGCAGTTGTTGATAGCCCGATTTTCCATGCGTGAAGCCCTCTTTTTGAATTTGAAGCGGTTAAGTTACTTGATGCCCGGATTTGGGCCAAATTTGGCAGAGGCAGGTCCGGGTTTGACAGGAAAAGCTAAGTACTGAGATCCGACAGGGCGACGGGTTAAAAAAACCGGCTGCCAAACAGTGCTCTCCGTGTAATATACTGAAAAACTCAATCTATGAGACACTTTTTAGGCAAGTGATACTCAAATTCCTTGGGAAAACAATCATGTGTTTTGTGCGCCAGAGGAATGCGCACAACTTTTATTTTTGGACCATGTGGTAATTATTGATAGGAAGATGTGTAGAAGGCTTGCAAGGAAGCTCCTGCAAAATGTGTTACAGTGAGATTAATAATATTTTCCACATTGTTTCTCCACATCTCTGTCCCCTACAGCCTTTGTCTATGGGTAGTATATTTATATGTAATGATTCCCTAAG